GCTAGAGGGCACAAGTGTGCAAATGGGCATATAATGGTGGACATTTGGACATGCAAAAGGAACATATAATAATGATTATAACCGGCAGCTCTAATATATGGAGCAACATAACTGCCAGTCATCAAAACATATTGGACTGATTTTCTTGCAACCCATACAAATTGTAAATGTTCACGTTGGGCATTTTTCGTCTCTCCGTTAAACCCTTGCATTCATTGGCCTATTATTTTTGTCTTAACTGTTGATTGGCCAGACAGTATAGCATGTCGACCACTGAAAGCTTACAGGACATGCAACCACCGGAATAACCGACCTTGGATTTGACGTAATATGAAAACATAATTCTATATTTGTTTATTTTTTCTATCGGGTTAATTTCTGAAAGCGAAAATATATTACTATATAAAAAAAAATTGCCAACGCGATGCCATCTCATATCGTAATTTACATTAGATTGGACACATACACTGCTGACTGGGGGTTGATTTCCACCTCAGCACGTGTTGATGTCCGTCATCAATTTCCACGACATTTTATGTTTTTGATCATCAAGATATCAAGAAGTGGTGTCAATTTCCAATGAATGTCGTGTTGTGATAACAGGGCGTACAAATGCAAAATTAGACTTCCTTGTAGATTGATTGAAATAATGACACACTAAAGGAATTTATCACACGTTGTTATCACTGGTGTTTTAAGGTTTAACATATGTGTACAACGTCCTACTTTTCTGTACCAATCGAGAGGTAGAGTAATAAGAAAAAATGGTAAGCTTTGACTTGCCCCGTGCGTAACACCCCAGCTATTTAATAGCTTAATCAATTAGTAATGTGACAAACTGTACGTATGAATTTGTTTAATTTGATTATATCGATTAGCGATGAAGCAATCTTTTTTTGAATGAATTTTAATTTCGGGAAAAGTGAAAGTCCGTTTGTTACAAGTTTTGTTTTTGGATTAAACTTTGCCACGAAGAATTTTTGGGATTCATTAAGCTCAATTCTCATCTAGTCACCCGGGTGGTATGAAAAGTCGAAGTCCACTCGTGTTTACCTAATCGTGCACATCAGAGAACCCTTTGCCGTTGGAATTCTTTGAAGAGTACCAGATAACACTGCTGTCTCACCAGATACATGTTAATGACAAACCTAAGTAAAGTACTTACAGTTTTTTTTCTAATTAAAAGCTTCAGATAAATTCTTTTCCTAGATATAAACATACAACCCGAATCCTTGTTCAAGTATCATTTACAGTACTTTGATTGTACTGGCTTTTATACCTACAGCACAGGTATGGAATATATTAGCACCCCCAAACTTTTTAGTTATTGGTCCTTATGACATGATGTTTGTCTTGCTCACACATTCATTAAAGGACCTATGACGATTAACTCGCGATAACTTAGTGTTTTTCGCACTTTTAATTCCATTCATGACGATATGAGACTTTGGCCCACATTTTAAAGTCGTCGAATGACGTCAATCGATCCAAATTACATTTTTGTACATATCAAAGCTGATATACGAGGGCTGGCTGAAACGTTCTAAACCCGAAAGGGATAGATCAGCTGGGTTGTAACAAACTTTTGCTACTAAGAAGTACAATCATTAAATGGATCATAGACATAAGGCTTGCAACTGTAATTTTATTATGGTCGTCGTACCAGACATCTCGTGAACCCATTGAAATCAACATAAATGGACAAAACTGCTTATAGGGCAGTCATCAAGTACCTGCAACTAAAAGGACTACCCCAACACAGATACATGCCGACATTGTCTCCACTTTCAGGGATGATGTCCTTCCTTTTCCACAGTAAAGAAGTGGACTGCGGAATTTAAGTGCGATAGAGAGAGCCTTGACGATAACCCGTATCCTGGGAGGCCATCAACAGAAATCATTCAAGAAAACATTACCCGGGTGCATAACATGGTGATGGCTGATTGACGATTGTCCACTCGACATATTGTCAGTGTTGTGGGAATCTCTCATGAGGAATGACAAGTTTCTACAAGATGAGTGTCAAAGCTCTTGACTGCGGATCAGAGAATTTGCGCTGTTATGAAGCAGATCCGGATAATTTTTTGGCCAAATTTGTAACTATGGATGAGGCTTGGGTTAATCACTTTCAACCAGAATCCAAACTTTAGTCTAAACAATGGAAGCATCCAGAGTCGCCAGCCCCCCATATAGCCAAGCCGGTTCCTTCTGCTGGAAAGGTGACATCTTCGGTCTTTTGGGATTCTAAGGGTATTCTGCTGATTGACTATCTTGAAAGAGGTCAGACTATCAATGGAAGATATTATGCTGACCTACTGAGACAGCTGCGTGAAGCTATTAAAGCTAGGCATCGGGGAATGCTCACTAATGGCATCCTGTTCCACTAAGACAATGCTTCTGTTCATAAATCAGTGATTGCCATGTCAGCGATCCATGATTGTGACTTCCAACTCATTGACCATCCACCTTACCAAGTTTGGCCCCTTCATATCAGCTGTGAACGAATTTTTTAGGGTGGCTGAAGAAAATTTCTTTCTGACCGGCATCCAGGCCTTACAAAATCATTGGCAAAAGTATGTACACCTCGAATGGGACTTTGCAGATAAATAAATGCAAACCATCGACTTTGTACAGGGTTTTAACAGATAGACTTAGAACTTTTCAGTCAGCACTCGTATGCCAGTGACAGTTTTATTTTTATAAACAAATTTTAGACCAAATCCTAATCCCAACAGGCCTGACTAAAACCTGTTTAGTCATTGTGATGGAACGAAAAACCGTCTATATTCTCGTATGTAGGCGGACACGCCTCTAAATGACGTATATTCGTCTTCATCTGTCCGGCTGAATCCCTTGAATATTTTGTTGGATGAAAATATACTTTCACATTTAGTTTCTTAGAGGTAGTAGTCTCACATAGGCATTTATTTATAGTGAATAATCTTACAACATAAAATTAGTTTATTGTTTGTTACAGCTTCCTGTAAGTGATTATAAGTAGTCATTAGCAGCTTTATTGAACTGGTTCTAATCATTTGTTAGTAGTTTATTTAATTGTTTATGTAAATGGCTTTCAGTTTACCATAATGTGGTCGTGATAATAGGAAAGGTTTCTGCCCAGCGATCCAGTCCAACTTATATGTCAGAAAGAAAAAGAATTTTAGAACAGAGTTTTCGATAACCTGTATTCCTTGACAGAGCTTATCCTATCACCAATCGAGGGGGTTGGATGGCCGAATGGTTAGCACGCGCTCACTGTATTATACGGTCTGTCATCGAGTCAACTGGCGGGGTTTCCATTCCCCGGTTGTACGTGACAAGGAGTAGGGTCACCTGTCCAAATTGTGTGTCTAACGACAAAAAAACGGAAATGGAATTTCGATCCAATATGCTGCTGAATATATGACTTCACCTCCGAAAATACTAAAACTAAATTTTTCGCGATAATAAATTTAGCTAGCTTCACATAATACACTGTAAAAGTGAACCCACAGAAAATGTCACCACTTAGAAAAAACGGCAATGTTTTCTATCATAACTAGACAAAAAAAATTGTAATAGCGTATTTGCGTGCACTCCAGAACATTGATATTTAACCATGGTTTGTAGAATATCGTTAGTACGACGTGGACTACAGTAAGTTATGCCTAAATATCTTTACATGTCGAATGGTGAGATGGTGGGCGGGGTTGCTCACCAGGCATTAGAATGGCTAAGTAGACAACTCAAGGAGGATAATTCCGTCTGAACAATGGTATTTCTGCCAACTTTCCTTCGAATTCTAACAGCTACAAGGGGTATTTTACCCGCAGTTGCACATCTTAATTCCGACACATGTATGATTTTCCAAAATGTATATTTTAAAAGGGGTGATTTGCATTACAGACAAAGTGGAAAGAAAGAGTCAATGTATAACTAATTTGATCCAACACGCCATACTCCTCGGATACTGACTTCTGGTATTTCAAATTTAAACATCGTAGGATTGTGATGTATTCGATCTATACATGGAAAACAAGACTAGCGGATAACTGTATGTCTTATTTCTTCTAATCAGAGTATTCTCGATGCAGGACGGAGGACCTGACAAGGAACATTGTCTAGTCGTTTGGATGGGACAAAATCCCTAGGCCCCGTGTTCACCTTGGCATGCCCGTCGTCATTATGACTCGGTAGGTGCCGAAAGTAGGAGATTAAATTCATTGCATTTAATTTCTGAGGTCCCGTGTACGGGTAAGAGCACTTCTATGAATTGAAGAATTCGTCTGGGTAAGGTTCCCTCGATCAGGTGGGACACAAAACCGGGTTCCCGTATACAGATAAAAGGGGGGATCACGTGGCTAAGTGGGTAAGACGCTGGCTCGCTAGCCTGGAGGTCGGGTGTTCAATCCCTGCATTGGCCGAGAAAGTTCATCCCGATTTTCCGATGTGGTTTCCCCTTGTCAGTGATGCAGGACGGAGGGCCTGACAAGGACAGTTGTCTAGTCCTTCGGATTAGAAGAAAAACCGAGGTCCCGTGTATACATTGGAGTGCACATAAAATATCCCTTGGCAGTTGGAATTCGATATAAGAGTAGGCGATAGTGCCGCTGCCCGGGCAAAAATTTCCCTCATAGCACATTGTATGGCGTATGCCCGTCTTCATTAGCCCAGTATAGGAGCAGAACAGTAGGACGTTAAACCCCGTTTCATTTCATTTACAGATAAAAGACCTCGTATGGTCAAAATTTTCCTCATAGCACACAGCATGGTACGGAAGATCGTTAAACCCCATTTCATTTCGTTTACGTGCACCCCAAGGTACGTGATCTCGGTGGGGTTTTTTTGTTTGAAGAACCCTTTTTACAGATATAATATAGTTTGGGGCGTAATAAAAGACAGAATGAGTCTTAGAAAAAATGGAGACAAAATGATATTTTTACTTTTATATTTACTATAATTAAAATTCAACATTTTAACAGGACACTGAATATCGTGGAATGACGGGGATAGCCCAAATTTCCAATTTTGTTATCACAATAAACCTAATTACACGTGAGATTTAGAATTTCCGGTATGCATGTATCAGTTCCGCTACTATTTAAAACGAAAACAAAATCTGCTTCCAGCTTCTGGGGTCACATAATAACTACTCCAATGTATAACTTGGCCAGTTGGTCGATAGAATGACTCCAATCTGAAATGGCAACGAGAATAAACTATAAATATATATATATATATATATTTTTAAATAATCAAATATTAAATGACAGCTAAAGTGAAAGTACATCCGGGATAATATTGTTCTGTAGATATTTTCTAGACTGGGGGTCGCAGTAGTAGTATTGTTTGTACACTAGATACACAGCGGAGTCGGAATCCTCGAGTTGGTCGAGAAGAACCTTCGGAATTTTGCAGTCCTATCATTACTGTTCTGGAGTGGCGGCGACAAGCAAAGTGAGTCTAGCCGTTGGAATGGGACGCAAAACTGATGTCCCGTGGACAAATTGGTAGCGCACTTAAACGACCCCTTGGCAAGTAAAACTATTAGGAAGCTATACGACGCCAGACAAGGTGGCTCAGTGAGTATCGTGTTAGCTCAGTGAGTAAAGCGCTGACTTACTCGCCAGAAGGTTCATCCCGGTGTTGACCAAGAAAGGTCTCGTGATTTTCAAGCAACATTTCTCATTTTCAGTAGTGCAGGACGAGGAATATGGCAAGGATAAACGTCTCTTAGTTCGGATGGCACAAAAAGCTGAGGTCCCGCGTATGCCATTGGCATAAAGATTTACATAAGAGAAGGCGGTAGCGCTCGTACCCTGCAAACTTTCGCTCATAAAACATTGCATGGCGTATTCTCATCTTTAATATTCCGATTGGTGCAGAAAATTAAGACGTACTACTTACCTCTATGGATGTGACGTCATAAATTCCCAGGTTTCGTTATCATTAGTATCTCGGACACTGCGTTTTCCTAAAGATCGGAGTCGGGATCGTACTTCAAACATCCTATCTCTACGACGTCTGTTGTTCCTGGAAACGAGCATGCGTGCTAGAGTTTTTAATTCCTGATTAATTGATAGGTTGGACCTCTTTCCAATCGACACAATTTGAGATTTTTCGTTTTGCTCACCCGAAACTTCTGTAGGCGGACTAGCTTCTAGATTCTCGAAAGGGAGTTCTTTTGAAAGCTTCGTTAGAAGCATTGCTTTGTATAAATTCAAATTCACTTTTAGATCGAGGTCACTGTTTTGATTAGGTAAACGGTCGAGTTCAATGTAGTCTTCAGGTAAAAGGGACGTTGGGACATACACAGATGGCATTGCATGTGACGTCACCAGAACGTGCGCAGTTAGGGTTGCTAAAAACAGCCTGATCATTGTTCTTGTTTCTCTGAAAATAGAATAAGAGTAATTATTAATTACTTCCGGGGTCATATTTTTAACGCACATGTATTCCAGATCCGTAGAGCGACCTGCCTTCAATTAAAACGAGCACTGCTGTCTAACCGGTTGTCAAACTGAACAATTTGAAAACGCAACTTTACCATAATATTACATCAAAAGGAAAAGTAGAACGTGGCAGAATTAACTTCTTATAGCTGCAAAATGCTTTGAAATATGCGATACTTCGATTTCTATTTATGAAAAGTCAATGCAAGAGGTCAAAAGGTGAATGATAATAAGATATTATCTTAAACGTACCGGATGTTGAAATATCTAGCATTATTAAGTTTATCGTGTTTAGTTTATATCTACAGACTTTCCTTTGACTTTAGAAACCGAATACACCGCAAAGCATGAAAAAGTCAATTATTATATTAAGATGCTATCTCAAAAAGACAATCCGGGTGTACGAATAAAAAAAATGATAGCAGCCCACTGTAACTGTATAATACACAAGGGATAGCGTGTCGCATTATCAAAGAGGTTTTATTACCGCTAGAGGGCACAAGTGTGCAAATGGCCCTATAATGGTGGACATTTGGACATGCAAAAGGAACATATAATAATGATTATAACCGGCAGCTCTAATATATGGAGCAACATAACTGCCACTGCCAGTCATCAAAACATATTGGACTGATTTTCTTGCAACCCATACAAATTGTAAATGTTCACGTTGGGCATTTTTCGTCTCTCCGCTAAACCCTTGCATTCATTAGCCTAATATTTTTGTCTTAACTGTTGATTGGCCAGACAGTATAGCATGCCAACCATTGAAAGCTTACAGGACATGCAACCACCGGAATAACCGACCTTGGATTTGACGTAATATGAAAACATAATTCTATATTTGTTTATTTTTTTCTATCGGGTTAATTTCTGAAAGCGTTGCGAAAATATATTACTATATAAAAAAAATTGCCATTTAAACTTCCCCTATCCTACCTATTGGGGGAAATAGTTTTGACTTGGAACTAAACTCGTTGCTTTTTGGCCCGACAAGATGGCTTAAAATAGAACGAGATGTCAACTGTTCATCAATTTGACCCAACACATCAATCTGTTTCACAGAGAATTACGAGTCTCGTATAATATCTGTCATAGATGACTGCCTTAACACGTGCTGTCACAGCACGCGGTGTGAATCATTGGCTGAATGGCGCGTGCATTGTTTACATAAGACATAACTGCTTCGGAGAGAATGCTGCATTTTAGTCAATTTAATACCCATTTACACTAAATCGGAAATAATTTTTACCTACAAATACGTCAAACGCCTTTATTTATTTTTCCAATATATACAAAAAATGTTTTCGAATTTAATTTGTCGCAGGAAAAAAGTTAATATTTCTAGCTCATTAAGCCGCATCAATGTCATCCTTATCAGTGATTGACGCGGCGAAGCAAATATTCACTGCGGATCAGTGTGCCAACACATATGACGTAACATCCAATTGTGACAGTTATCACATGGTTAAATACAAGCTATAAATTATTAGCTATTATTGAGCAAGCCAGGTTAATGCTTGCTGCGCTAACAACGCCATGCCATCTCATATCGTAATTTACATTAGATTGGACACATACACTGCTGACTGGGGGTTGATTTCCACCTCAGCACGTGTTGATGTTCGTCATCAATTTCCCCGCCATTTTATGTTTTTGATCATCAAGATATCAAGAAGTGGTGTCAATTTCCAATGAATGTCGTGTTGTGATAACAGGGCGTACAAATGCAAAATTAGACTTCCTTGTAGATTGATTGAAATAATGACACACTAAAGGAATTTATCACACGTTGTTATCACTGGTGTTTTAAGGTTTAACATATGTGTACAACGTCCTACTTTTCTGTACCAACCGAGAGGTAGACTAATAAGAAAAAATGGTAAGCTTTGACTTGCCCCGTGCGTAATACCCCAGCTATTTAATAGCTTAATCAATTAGTAATGTGACAAACTGTATACGTATGAATTTGTTTGATTTGATTATATCGATTAGCGATGGAGCAATCTTTTTTTGAATGAATTTTAATTTCGGGAAAAGTGAAAGTCCGTTTGTTACAAGTTTTGTTTTTGGATTAAACTTTGCCACGAAGAATTTTTGGGATTTATTAAGCTCAATTCTCATCTAGTCACCCGGGTGGTATGAAAAGTCGAAGTCCACTCGTGTTTACCTAATCGTGCACATCAGAGAACCCTTTGCCGTTGGAATTCTTTGAAGAGTACCAGATAACACTGCTGTCTCACCGGATACATGTTAATGACAAACCTAAGTAAAGTACTTACAGTTTTTTTTTCTAATTAAAAGCTTCAGATAAATTCTTTTCCTAGATATAAACATACAACCCGAATCCTTGTTCAAGTATCATTTACAGTACTTTGATTGTACTGGCTTTTATACCTACAGCGCAGAAAAGGGGTGTGGAATATATTAGCACCCCCAAACTTTTTAGTTATTGGTCCTTATGGCATGACTTTTGTCTTGCTCACACATTCATTAAAGACCTATGATGATTAACTCGCGATAACTTAGTGTTTTTCGCACTTTTAGTTCCATTCATGATGATATGAGACTTTGGCCCACATTTTAAAGTCGCCGAATATCAAAGCTGATATACGAGGGCTGGCTGAAACGTTCTAAGCCCGAAAGGGATAGATCAGCTGGGTTGTAAAAAACTTTTGCTACTAAGAAGTACAATCATTAAATGGATCATAGACATAAGGCCTGCAACTGTAATTTTATTATGGTCTTCGTACCAGACATTCTGTGAACCCATTGAAATCAACATAAATGGACAAAACTGACAATATGGCAGTCATCAAGTACCTGCAACTAAAAGGACTACCCCAACACAGATACATGCCGACATTGTCTCCACTTTCAGGGATGATGTCCTTCCTTTTCCACAGTAAAGAAGTGGGCTGCGGAATTTATGTGCGATAGAGAGAGCCTTGACGATAACCCGTATCCTGGGAGGCCATCAACAGAAATCATTCAAGAAAACATTACCCGGGTGCATAACATGGTGATGGCTGATCGAGGATTGTCCACTCGACATATTGTCAGTGTTGTGGGAATCTCTCATGAGGAATGACAAGTTTCTACAAGATGAGTGTCAAAGCTCTTGACTGCGGATCAGAGAATTTGCGCCGTTATGAAGCAGATCCGGATAATTTTTTGGCCAGATTTGTAACTATGGATGAGGCTTGGGTTAATCACTTTCAACCAGAATCCAAACTTTAGTCTAAACAATGGAAGCATCCAGAGTCGCCAGCCCCCCATATAGCCAAGCCGGTTCCTTCTGCTTGAAAGGTGACATCTTCGGTCTCGGCTAAGCATCGGGGAATGCTCACTAATGGCATCCTGTTCCACTAAGACAATGCTCCTGTTCATAAACCAGTGATTGTCATGTCAGCGATCCATGATTGTGACTTCCAACTCATTGAATATCCACCTTACCAAATTTAGCCCCGTCATATCAGCCGTGAACGAATTTTTTAGAGTGGCTGAAGAAAATTTCTTTCTGACCGGCATCCAGGCCTTGCAAAATCATTGGCAAAAGTATGTACTCCTCGAAGGGGACTTTGTAGATAAATAAATTCAACCCATCGACTTTGTACAGGACTTTAACAGATAAACTTAGAACTTTTCAGTCAGCACTCGTATGCCAGTGACAGTTTTATTTTTATAAACAAATTTTAAACCATATCCTAATCCCAACAGGCCTGACAAGGAAACCTGTTTAGTCATTGTGATGGAACGAAAAACCGTCTATATTCTCGTATGTAGGCGGACACGCCTCTAAATGACGATTATTAAGATATTAGAACCTATTTCAATTCTTGTCATTTTTTCCTAAACATAAAAGAATCCCTTGAATATTTTGTGGGATGAAAATCTACTTTCACATTTAGTTAATTAGAGGTAGTAGTCTGACATAGGCATTTATTTATAGTGAATAATCTTACAACATAAAATTAGTTTATTGTTTGTTACAGCTTCCTGTAAGTGATTATAAGTAGTCATTAGCAGCTTTATTGAACTGGTTCTAATCATTTGTTAGTAGTTTATTTAATTGTTTATGTAAATGGCTTCCAGTTTACCATAATGTGGTTGTGACAATAGGAAAGGTTTCTGCCCAGCGATCCAGTCCAACTTATATGTCAGAAAGAAAAAGAATTTTAGAACGGAGTTTTCGATAACCTGTATTCCTTGACAGAGCTTATCCTATCACCAATCGAGGGGGTTGGATGGCCGAATGTATCATACGGTCTGTCATTGAGTCAACTGGCGGGGTTTCGATTCCCCGGTTGTACGTGACAAGGAGTAAGGTCGCCTGTCCAACATCGTGGGTTTTCTCCGGGTCCTCCGGTTTCCTCCCACTGCTAAAGACCCCTACGCGCAAGCGAATCATGGAAATAAAATTGAACCATATGTTAGTCCCGAAATGACGTAGTTTGTGTCGAGTGGACGTTAAACCCCATTTCTCTCTCTCTCTCTCCCTATCACCAATCGAAATAACACATCAGATCAACATAACATGTCAATATTTTATTTGGAGCTAAACAAAGAGGTTTAACTCCCTGTTGGGATTTCTACAGATGTCATTCATTGTAAAATAAGTAATATACATATAATTATTTATAAATCTAACAATAACTGTCGTGCTGCCAAGGAAACATTATTAGTGAAATAAAGAAAATAAAATGGGGTTTAAACTCTTAATTTTCTGAACCGACTTGGGTTATAAAGACAAGGATATGGGGATGTCTAAATGAAACAAATGAATGGTGTTCCAGAATAAGTAAGTATACTCTGTCTTATACAAGACAAGCGTCACCACTACCAAAACACGTCAGGAGAGATATCGGGTTTAACGTCCACTCAGCACAAACTAGGTCATTTCGGGACTAACACATGGTTCAATTTTATTTCAATAATTCGCTTACGCGTAGGGGTCTTTAGCAGTGGGAGGAAACCCGAGGACCCGGAGAAAACCCACGACGTTGGACAGGCGACCCTACTCATTGTCACGTACAACCGGGGAATCGAAACCCCTCCAGTTGACTCAATGACAGACCGTCCCTAAAAGATATGTGGAATTTAAATTCCATACATCTATTCTGCCCTTATGCAAATTGATAAATTTGATACGCAAATCAAGCACAGTTAAAGATACTTTCCCAGAAAAGTATTTATCGGGTGGTTATTTCCAATAAAAGTACTGTATGTCAAATTTGGTATATATGAAAGTATAGACACCCAATCTTATTAGAAAAATACTGGATTACCCAAAAAACGCCCATCGGGAAAGCACTGGCAAAATTGTCAGGGTATCACTAACTGGCAACCCGACTGTTATCTGTCAGCTTATAATTAAGAATTTACTTAGGCCTCAATATGTGTGGTAAATTTACACTAACTAATTATAAATACATTATGAAAAATGCCCCCCCCCCCCAACAATGAAGCTAAGTTGACAGATGTTGCGTCTAGCAACAGCTTACCTATTGCTATAGGTATCCCCGGCGAATACAAAGTTTTGAAAGGGAATTGAAGCAAATTTTTGATATATTGGTTACTTTGAATATGTTTTTAGTCCAACTATATCATCAAATCACAAAGTTTGTACGCGGGAATGTATCTTTAAAAGAAATTATTTATCGCGATGTCAAATTTAACTAAATATTCTTTTAGTTTCGTTTCTTTTCGGTTCAAACCCAAAGCAATTGTTCATTGATAATCTAATTATTGTTGACAGGGATTGTGCTTATTATATGCGTTTCGCTATAAACATTAGATTTGGGTTGCGTTTTTTAGTCTGGGACAAAAATCTGATGCGATTTAGATAATTCGTCATTATATCTTCAGTTAGTAAATTTTAAAGAGACATTAGCATTGTACGGGATGCCGATTTGACTTGATAGATGATACAGCCACATTGTACATCGGGCATGCTCAAATTAAACCGTGCACAATTGAAGACTATGATATTTTACCAATCATATATAAATATTTTAGTGATTTTCGCGCTGTTTAGTTTTTAGAATGATAATGCCACTTTAAATAAAAGAAATCGCTAAAAAGAAATTAAGCTTCAATTCTTTGAATGGTTGGAATCGACTGCTTTGAAATAATGCGGTACAAGTGAGTTCAAGTAAGTGAGTTATTCGCGTCAGTTGGGTCCAAATAAGTGTCATATAAAACATTTAACCGATTATGGAAGATTAGATAAAGAGCTGGTAGTTCTCATTACATGTATAATAGTTAAAACAAAACTAGATAATGTAAAGCGAATGTGTTGAAAATTTAAGTCAAATTGCTCCACACTGAACCGAGATATTAGCGTTTGGATTTTAGACCTAACCCCGATCACCATTACTTAGTTTTAATTATCCATTTTTGGATAAAATCATCAATTAGCGTTGAACAGAAAATCGAATTCAAATCCAGTGAAAATCAGACACATAGGATGTCATCGAGAGTTGATTAAGGTATTTTCATGTTAATTTTGCACTTGATCTAATTTTAACAAGCTTGGTAGAACTGCATAGTCCAATCCCGTCAAATCAACCGGCGACCCAACGTGTATAAATTTGAAAATCAAATTAAAGTAGTTTGAAACACCACTGCCCGGGGAAAATTATGAGCTCTGTCATTATCATTGCACACGTTTTCCTGTTATCAGCATCCTAGAAAAAAATACTATACTTATTGTAATAGTTTCCAATAATAATCATGGATCACCCCCCCCCCCCCACCCATCCACCCCCCAAAAATAAAAATAATGCTTATTATAATATTAATTGTTCTATGATTAATAGGTATCTATCTATAATAAAACTATATTTATTTAAATATCGATTGGCTACTCCTACCCTGATCAACTGAGAAACCTATTTCAGGAATTGTATTATTCCCCGGGCTATATCAAAAACTATTGTTTAATGTTTAGCGCCATTTCTTTAGATCAGCTCATTTAACATAGCCAATTAATGTCTGGGCGCTACAGACAATTGATTCGTTGACTTCGTGTATTATGATATCATCACCATAAATAATGTCGTATTTACAGAAATTACGGTTAATCAGAATAAGTTATTTATGTTCTATTGGTAAAATCGAATTGGTTTTTTTTTTACAATATGATTAAAATACAGATCTATATTTCATTTCGTTTTTTATACTTTCGACGGCCTCACTAGACTATAAAAATTGGACTATAAAGACAGGAAACGAAATAAGATCTGTTTTAATCAGCTTCGTAATTTTATTGTGTACGACATAATTATTTTAGTCAAACCATGAAATTCTTTGTTTTCGGTCGTATAGTACACACAAGAACACCTCTCTATTGATTAATCTGCATTATAAATATTCATTATTGATAGGTTGTCGCTATGGCTACGCCCCCCCCCCCCCCCGGCCTCTCGCACATTTCCCGATACACCACAGCATGCCCGCCCCCTACTGAAATATCAGATTAATATGTGTAAATGTGTAAGATTTCATGCAAAATAAAATGAAATGTGATTTAACCTCCTGCTTTATTTCACCGACAGGGCTAATGCCACGCAGTGTGCTATGAGGGGGATTTTGCCTGGACAGCGTCTACAACCTATTTTAGTTTTGAATTTCACCTGTCAATGACCTCAGTTTGTCGTCCTATCCGAACGACTAGTCATTAAACATTGTCAGGTGTTCAGTCCTGTACCACTGACACGGGTGAAACCACGTTAGAAATCTCAGGATCGACCCCAGAATCTCCTGGTTAGTGAGCCAGCACCTTAATCGCGGAGCCACCGTGGCAGATCAATAAATATTCTTATTTAAAAACTCAAGAAATAATTCATGATACGGCTGCGTTTGAAAATTTAAATTCTAGAATTATTTAGTACAATTAATGCTCCAGTAGTTTAGGATCAATAGGTTTATAAAACTTCAACACTCCAGACTAATAGACAAATATAGACTTTTTATCCATACACAGTAAGTAATCCAAAATAATTAAAATCGATCAATTCTAAAGTAAGTTATAGCTATCGTCGTCTAAAGCTGCTAAAAAAATATTGGTCCTAAAAATAGGCTGTTTGTTCTCTCTTCTAGAACATCTGATATCACTTATCATTTGTTAGGCAAGTTTAGATAGCTATCAAATATCCGTGTACTGTTATATTATCGACCAATCTAAACCAAATAAATCTATCGTCGGAAATCTCAAACTTGAATAAACTGACAACCAATATGGCCAACAGACTTACAAAGGTTATAAAGCTCAATGATCGACGTTTCGATCCATTAATTGTCGCCCTGTTTATTTTGTGGACTTGGATCGACCTTTCGAGCTCAAATACTTTACACAATTTAATATCTGCATCCTCATCGCATTTCTGTAATTCCCATAGCGAAAAGCAACATATTAGATGTTTAAAACTGACTTACCTATGTGTTGTTTTATCTGGTGTTCTATGGGGTTCCGGGTTGCTCCTGTGACTTCTGATATATTTACTAGAGATCCAAGCCGAATCCAAGCTGTTGAGCTTTCTATTGATACCAAAATGATATGAATTAATAAATCTCTTAAATTTCCGTCAGTATTCCGCTTCTCAAAGTCTGATCGGTAATCTCTGTGAAACTGAATTTCTCTACTGATTTCAAAGATGTTCTTGTTGATTCTTTAATCTAAAAACAATCAGTCGTTTTAAGTTATGGATCCCAGATGACAGTTTCCTTATGTCCACTTTATAAGTTATGAATGTAGCTTTTATACATAAACACGCATACCTATATTCTCCGCCCGTCAGCTTATCCCTCCCTCGCACGCTCTTATTCCGATAATACACCACATTGTTCTTCCTCTTTGAGTCAATCGGTTAACGTTCCGATTCTTGTCACGCGAGACACGTGCTACGTTTTATTAGAGTACTTATGCCATATAGATTAAAATCTGCGATCAAATAAAAACTAAGTTGGATAACATGAAACTAATAAGGATTTGTCTATTTTATCATTTAAAAAATCAAAAATAAAAATAATCTTGTTTTATTTATATTTCCATATACATGAATATTAAAATGACAGAAAATTAAAAATTCGAATAATCAACCTCCTGGGTGTTTGCCATTCATTCTACTTTCTTTGTTAAAGATAGAAGGTAATTGTGTTGAATTCAGAATGGATTTCAAAGCCCTATCGACAACAATGCTTGGAGATAAATAGAATAACAATAGAATGGAGATTAACGTCTCGTCAACACAGTACTTTTAGACTAACATATTATGGTAATTTTGCTGGTTACATGTGCAATGCGATGAGGAGACTGATGCCTGGAAAGCGGTGTTTCCGATATATACACTTCTTCGAGTTCTAACTCCAAGGGTTTCCTTTGTGAGTTGCACTGGCGGACCTCGGTTTTTCGTACCATCTGAACGACAAGGTACACTTTCTGTATTAACCCCACAGGCGCCAACCGAAACAATTTTTAACCGGATTCGAGAAATCGAGAAACAAAATTTCAGCCAACGCAGGGATTCAAACTCGGGACATTCTAGCCAGGGTGCTACTACCACACCGGTGTTCCACAATTAAAGGAAGGTAGAATTATTACTATGTGCGCGTGTACGTTACATTGTGGGGGGAGGGGGGTAGTTATGCCAAACTGCCAAAACGTCAAAAATTCGTCATTTTCATCCACGGGAAAAATTGTGTCAGATATTCGACATTATTTGTTCATTAAGCCCTGCAAAAGAGTGGACTGTTCGTTAAATTAATATATATAATGTTTTGTTTTCACGATGAGAAATTTTCATCTCCAAAACAAATCAATTCTTAAACTTAAATCAAATCGCTGGGGTTTTTTCTGGTAAAAATAAAAGATATTGTGATGTGTTCAAGGCCAACATCTAATCAAATTTCAAACACAACAAATATTTAAAAACAACTACCCGAATCTCAATAAACCATAGTATCATTTTCCGTAAATCGTATTATCCTCTTTTATGAATTGATGTTTTTTGGACACACTGGACATTAAACTTACATCTGGAATCAATTTACCAATAAATAATAAAAGCTCAATTGTTAAGCAAATATTAGGTTTTAAAATGAGTAGACCTCTTACGTTCGAGCAAAACAAAAAATATGATGTGATGATTTGTTTTGCACAGTGTCTATCGACCTAAATTTTAAGGTCATAAATAAAACCAATGTTAAAGATACATTATGTAAGATTTAGATAAAGAGCTGTCCGTTATTCCTATATAATGGTTTTAATAATGGCCAATGAAAAATTAGTACATTGATTTTCAGTTCACCAATCGGCAGTCAGGCACAATATCTAATCCCGCCAAGTCACTCGATGGTCTCGAGAGTTCAGTGGCTTGCATATTAACGTTAAACGAAGATATGACCGAGATTGTCTAATAGGCCAATTTAGGTATGATTTATTTTGTGTTAACGAAACTGAAAATGGTAAACAAGCCGACTTTCGAACTAATCGTATGGAGCTTTTCTCTTCTTTAAAAGAAATAATACGCCAGCACTTCATTTTGACCTAAATAAAAGAATTAAAATGAGGCTTAACGTCCTACTTTTCAACTAGATAAAAACAGTTTAGCTCCTTAATATTATTAAGCTGGTTGTGTAACGGGACGTGTTCGTTTGGTATATTCAAAAACACGTGTGGGTGTATCGGGAACTGTTTTGTTACGACAAGGGATTACCCAACCAATATGATGTTAATTTTACGTTACATTTACGTAAAAATGGTCAGTCAGTTTACCATCATTTTGCTCATCTTTTTAACGATAATTTTACGTCAGGAAATGACGTTAATCTAATGTAAACTTTACGCCATTTTTACGTTATATTTACGTCATTTTCTGACGTAAATCTAACGTAAAGTTTACGTCATTTTCTGACGTAAATCTAACGTAAAATTTGCGTAAAGTTTACGTCATTTTCGTTAGATTTACGTCAGAAAATGACGTAAACTTTACGTTAGATTTATGTCAGAAAATGGTGTAAATATAACGTAAAAATGACGTAAACTTTACGCTAGATTAACGTCATTTCCTGACGTTAAATTGTCAATAAAAGGATGAGCAAAATGATGGATATCTAACCGACCATTATAACGTAAATCTAACATTAAATTAACATCATTTACGGATGCAATTCTAATGTCAAATTTTGATGAGCAAAGTTACGAAAATATAACCAACCATTAAAACCTTCAAAATTATTCATTATTTGCGGCAGTAAATGGGAAGTACATTCAACCAATAATCAAATTTTCCTGACCCGTGGGTGAGGATAAAAATTGAGTGGTCCAACGTGTGCGCTTTAGATCATAAGGTCTGTCATTGAGTCAAGTGGTTTGTTTCCACACCCAACTTGAACATGGGTTTTCTCTGGGTCCTCCTACCACTAAAGATTCCTGGTGCGGATGAATTATTCAACTTGAATTGAATCACTTAGTCCCAAAGGACAGTTTATGTCTATTGGATGTTTTACCCCATTGCTCTCTATCTACCCATAACCAGTCAGAATTCTAAATGTATTGCACAGAAAAGTTAAAAATCTAGCAGAATTATATGACAAAATATACTACAAGTATGTATACATATACTTTATTTAAAAGACAAAAATATAATGTTATAAAATACAAAATACACATTTAAATATTAACAGTTTTTATCCACAGCTGTTTGAGAAATGAAGACGGGCATATTCACATTTCACACCCTGAAAATGGTAAACAAGCCGACTTTCGAACTAATCGTATGGAGCTTTTCTCTTCTTTAAAAGAAATAATACGCCAGCACTTCATTTTGACCTAAATAAAAGAATTAAAATGAGGCTTAACGTCCTACTTTTCAACTAGATAAAAACAGTTTAGCTCCTTAATATTATTAAGCTGGTTGTGTAACGGGACGTGTTCGTTTGGTATATTCAAAAACACGTGTGGGTGTATCGGGAACTGTTTTGTTACGACAAGGGATTACCCAACCAATATGATGTTAATTTTACGTTACATTTACGTAAAAATGGTCAGTCAGTTTACCATCATTTTGCTCATCTTTTTAACGATAATTTTACGTCAGGAAATGACGTTAATCTAATGTAAACTTTACGCCATTTTTACGTTATATTTACGTCATTTTCTGACGTAAATCTAACGTAAAGTTTACGTCATTTTCTGACGTAAATCTAACGTAAAATTTGCGTAAAGTTTACGTCATTTTCGTTAGATTTACGTCAGAAAATGACGTATACTTTACGTTAGATTTATGTCAGAAAATGGTGTAAATATAATGTAAAAATGACGTAAACTTTACGCTAGATTAACGTCATTTCCTGACGTTAAATTGTCAATAAAAGGATGAGCAAAATGATGGATATCTAACCGACCATTATAACGTAAATCTAACATTAAATTACCATCATTTACGGATGCAATTCTAATGTCAAATTTTGATGAGCAAAGTTACGAAAATATAACCAACCATTAAAACCTTCAAAATTATTCATTATTTGCGGCAGTAAATGGGAAGTACATTCAACCAATAATCAAATTTTCCTGACCCGTGGGTGAGGATAAAAGTTGAGTGGTCCAACGTGTGCGCTTTAGATCATAAGGTCTGTCATTGAGTCAAGTGGTTTGTTTCCACACCCAACTTGAACATGGGTTTTCTCTGGGTCCTCCTACTACTAAAGATTCCTGGTGCGAATGAATTATTCAACTTGAATTGAATCACTTAGTCCCAAAGGACAGTTTATGTCTATTGGATGTTTTACCCCATTGCTCTCTATCTGCCCATAACCAGTCAGAATTCTAAATGTATTGCACAGATATGGTTATACAGGTTAATATATAGGGAGATGCTGTTTAATAGAGATAGGGTGATACTGGGTAATAGACAAGGTGATGCTTGTTTATACGGGTGTATTAACCCGATACTACCCAGGTCATTTCAGGGCTATCTATTCTTTTTATTTCCATATTATATCACGATATTAATTGCACGCGTTAGACGACTGGGCAACTGCCTAGCTGATATCCTTGACCTTAAATTATAAAAAGTGGTTTTCAAGGTAAAATGAAATATAATTATCTGATGACCTGAACTAAAGATGGTGGCTTTGATTTAATATCTAAATAATTCGTGTTGAAATAAAAACATATGATATCTGCTTCTGGAGAAATGGTAAAAAAATGAAAACACGATAATTTAAAAACTGCACAATCCCACGCATTACGGTTATTCTCAATGAAATTCATTTTAACCGTATTTAATTATATATACGTTTGCAAGATTATATATCGTTGGTTATTATTTCCCTTTCTTCTGTAATAAATTGAATTTAAAAGTAAAGTGTGTCAATATAAAAGACATATATTGAGTTTATGACCATACACACAAATAATCTTTCGCTATACTTCTCTACCTTTATTAAAGAGGCATTGTGGTGGCACAGAACGAGACACCAGTCCTATATTATTTATAGTTTTGGGTTCGTTTTTAAATCAAAATTATGGGTGGTTTAAGAAGACATCAGCAAAATACCCAGCAATGATGGTAATGACCCCAATTTTACAGGTCACGTCCATCATTTTGTTTACGAATGATTGATACTTAAATTTTAACATTTTATTATCTTGTATAATTTGTTTTGTTCCAAACTTATATTAAGTGTATTTCCTAATAATTAAGTTGTATCAAA